TGCTAACCAGAAGGCTGGTGGTTCAAACCCACCAGCCACTCCTCAGAAGGAAGGTTGGGCAATCTACTTCCATAGTGATACTGCCTCAACAACCCAAGGAGGGGTCGCTATGAGTCAGGTCCAACTCGATGGCACATAACAACAACAACACAGTCAAAAGCTTTTGCACAGTCAATAAAACACAAGTAAACATCTTTCTGGTATTTTTTTGCTTTCAGCCAAGCTGCATCTGACATCAGCAATGATATCCCTGATTTCATGTTCTCTTCTGAATCCAGCTTGCATTTCTGGAAGTTCCTGTCAATATACTGCTGCGGCCATTTTTGAATTTTCTTCAGCAAAATTTGACTTGCATGTGATATTAATGATACTGTTCAGTAATTTTCACCTTCTGTGGGATCACCTTTCTTTGGAATGGATACAAATACAGATCTCTTCCAGTCTGTTGGTCAGGTAGCTGTCTTCCTAATTTCCTGGCATGGGCAAATAAATGCCTCCCATGTCGCATCCGTTTGTTGGTTCTTATTTAGCCTTATTTTAATGCAAGAAAAAGCTTGAAACTTTTTCAGTGATCTGAAAGCTGCACATGCATCATAGGAAGATAATTGTGATGAAGAATCTGTTGAAAGTAGGGGTTGATTCAGTTTTTTCGAAGAGGGCAAATTTACATAACATTAAAGGGCAAGTAGAAGAATTGTCCCTGTGTTATACATTCATTCTTAATCCACAGACTGCCTGTAATGATGTTAATAAATTATGTTCTTATTTACATTTTTAAAAACAATACTTTATTGCTTTTTCTAAGTGAAAATTTATACCGAATTAAGTTTCCAGTTGACAATTTGTATACAAATTGTCCTGTGATATTGCTTACAATTTTCACATTGTGTCATCTTTTTCATTATTTCCATTCTGTTTTTTCTATTTCCACTGAGCAGGTTTCCCTTCCCCTCCTTGCTGTCTTATCTTTGCTTTTGGGTAAATGTTGACCATTTGTTCTCATGTAGTTAATTAAGGGAGAGATTACTCACGGGTGATATTGTTTAGTTTGTAGTCCCATCTATTGTTAGGCTGAAAGTTGATCTCTGAGAGTGATTTCAGTTCTAGGCTAAAAAGGTGTCTTAGAGCAGTAGTTTTGGGAGTTCCTCTAGTCTCTATCAGTCTGGTCTTTTTTATGAATTTCAGTTTTGTTCTACATTTTTCTCCCATTCTTAACCAGGAGCTTCTATTGTGTCCTTTGTCAGAACAGCCACTAGTTGTTGCCGGACACTAATTCTTACG